CGACTCAGAATGGTACCGTGCATATCCTTGTGGTGCGCAATAGCCAAGGAGACGACAACGAACGCCTGCAGTAGTCCCAACAGCTTCACTACAGAGTGATCCCTGGCTACATCGTGGTGTGGTTTATAGGCAGAGCCGGCTGCAACTGGGGGTGAAGCACCGAATAGCCTGTCGAAAGCTTTGTCTGTGTCTAGCATCCCAAGTATAACCGCCTGTACGCCATTGGGGTAGCAAAGGGAAGGAGTGATGAACTTCACGTGCAGGGAACTTCACGTGCAGGATACCATGCATTATCTGATTGGGTTTTCTATTTATAATCTGTACGGTATGCTGTACGCCACTATACATATATGATATGACTATGTGGGGTACAGCTAGCCTCTATTATAGACATTCACTGTTCACACCACATCATGAGCGACGGAGGCTATCGGCCCTCTCTTGTGCAAGGGATTCGCATATGTAGTATTCTACTGTGCAACCATCCACCCAAGTAAACTACCATGTCAACTGTGCCAGACCCGGTCAAGTATCATATACGAGGAAACCAGTGACTACCAGATATAAGTAACCATAACCCACACCACACACATACTAGAACACACCACGAGCCACAAACGAGCGAGCCGGGCTCGGATGCACTAACTTGCAGAGACATAGTCGTAATCAGAATATAAAGTGACTCACCATACACGCCACTGAAGCTTAACATCCCATGAGTGATATGGGCTCTGGTTCACTATCATGCATAAGGATAGCAGACACTGCACTACACAGCCACATACAACTAGCACAACACACACGCTAGCATACCTTGAGCGATATGGATTATGGCTCACTATCATACTAAAGAATAGCAGACATTACACACAGAACCAAATTCAACTCGCACAACACACACGCTGGCGTACCATGAGCGATATGAGCTCGGGTTCAGTGTGATGCATCATAATAGCATTCACTTCCCGGCGGTAGAAGTCGCCTTTGGTCTGTTCAAAGTCCTCGGCCTCCACTATACGCTGCTTGCCTTTAGCCAGACACACGAGGAACCAGTGCATAGTCTCAAAGCGCCCGTCATTCTTCCCCTGGTTGTCTTCAATGTTGTACTGCATGAGTACGCGTTCAATCCAGGCCACGGCCTTGTTGTCTTTCAGTGCCTGCGGATCGAGGTCAGAACGTGGTATGAGACGCTAATAGAATACATATAGAGTTGTAAT